CCCACTTGATGCATCCCATTTCAGTCTATCTTGTCAATTTACCTATTTTTTGATTTCATAAAATATTTTATTTGACTCTTTTTTTTTTAAAGTTAAAAAATTATTTCCAATCATATTAGTGTTTTTTTTTTAATCTCATATTTTAGTTAAAAAATCAAAAAATTATTAAAATAGCACATTTCAAATGAGGCCTAAATACAAGTATAAAACTCAATAACTAAAACTAAATCACCATAAATCTAGAAATCACCATTTCAAACTCTAAAAATGTAAAACATTAAATTAAACCTTTTAGAGAGATATTCTTACCAATTAAAGGGGTATTTGAGATGATTTAAATAAGTACATTTTTTGACTTTTTACAAAAATATGTAAAGAAAAATAAAGAGATGATGTGATCCAATAAGTGTAGTTATCTAAATAAGTAGACTTATATAGTGTATGCCAAATAGCCCCTAAAAGCCTCTAATCCCTCAAGAAAAGAAAATTCAAGCTTTGATCCTTCAAGAGGTTAAGAAAATTTTAGAGTTGGAACTTCTATTGTGCTATTTTTGAAGAAAGAGAAGTGGATGATCAGAGCTTTTTCCGATGAGGTAACATGGCCGGCCGTGGTAGAGATGGTGGGTTGAGGTGATGGTGTAAGGGTGGAGCAAATGTGAGGTGTTTGGCCAACAAGAAAGTAAGGGAAAATAAGAGAAAGGTATAGAGAAGTTAGAGAGAGAAGAATGAAGACAAAATAAAATAAAGATCTGCATTTTTTATTTTTTTAAAAGGTGGTGTTTGGTCACACCTACAATCAAGTTTGGAATTGAGTTTAGATATCCTAAGTGAAGTTTAACTTAGGAGCGTGTTTGGCTCTAGATAAATGTTAAGTATATCATGGTCCCCTTTTTTGGGGTTATAGGAAGTGAGATCGGATTAAGATGGATGTGGGGTCCACTAATATTGTGTTTGTTTACGAAATGGGGAAGGAGATTCACAATACTTTGGGACTATGATAGGTGTCTATGGATGAGATTAATAATTTTTCATGGGAGATGATATTAGAAAAACAATCCCTTGGAATTAGAGGAGGATTTACTATTTTGCCCTCTATTATCCTACCTAATTTACTTACTCTACTTGATTAATTTGGTCTTTTCTTTACTATTTTTTTTTATTCCACTATTTTTTACTCCATTCTTTATATCAAAATAATTTAATATAAAAATAATTTTTAATATAAAAATATAATAGTATAAAATAATATTTATACCAAAAAAAATTATATTAAAAAAATAATAAAATAGTACCCAAAAAAATATATTTATGAAATATAATTTTTAATATTAAAATATTTAATGCATTTATTAATTTGTATAAATCCAAATTTGATAATAATACAATAAGGGTATTTTTAAAATTTTACATAATTAATCTTATTCTTATCTCATAAAATAAATAGAAACTATTATTAATCTACTATTTATCAAATAAACACAATTTTTTTTAACCTCTTCCTAACAATCTCAGTCAACCTATCTCTTAAAACAAACGTGCGATATATATATTTCTTCTTCTATTCATTACTTACAATTTGCAAGATCTGCAGATAGGTGAGCAAAAAGATAAGGTGAGCTATTCTTTGCTTAAATTATTGTTGTTTCGTCTCATCCTTCGTTTAAACAAACCACTATAAACTTTTACATCAAAACTTTGACTGATAGTTATTGTTTCATTTCTCTTTTTTCATGGGTTGATCATGTTCTGTTTCAATTTGATAAATACATTTTGCAAAAGCTATAGTTTTCAATTTTTTTATTGTTAAGGTTTGGTAAGACATTAAGCTATGCAAAGCTGAAGAATACTGATTTGGAAATTCTTGTGAATCTTGTTGGTGACAAGGAAAGATATTTAAAATCTCACATGGTGCTAAAATCTTGAGATCTTAGAGGTATTTCTTTTTATTTTGCGGACTTATTTATTTAAATTATGTACTCTTTTCTATGAATATTTTCATAGATCTTCTTGGCATCAAGACATGATTAAAGTAAAGTGTTACCTCCTTCATGATTTTTTTATATTTGTGCAGAATTTTCTTTTCTGTACACCCTTCATTCAAAGTTGAATCTCTCTATCTCACCATGACTCCAGATTGAGTAAGATTGATGGTGTTGGAATTTTATCATTCATATCTAGATCGGGTTATTCTTGACATCATTTGAGAGGTAAAAATCTACCTAAGTTCCTTTTTCTTTTTCAAATCAATCTCTTTGAATCATAGATTTAGGTATGAATTTAGAAAAAGAAAAAAAAGAAAAAAAGGAAAAGGTGAGACAATTGTTAATAAAATATAAGCTAATTTTTTTTTTTTTTTTTCATTTCTCTTTTATTTTCAAATTTCTATTGAAATCTATATCCAAATACAGTGTTATTTCCTTGTTTGAAATTTGCATTCATTCAACGAAAGCTATGTTAGTATATTACATTGATAGTATGAATATGGGTGTAGTTGTGTGTCTGGACCGAATAATACTATAAATATATACTCAAAATTTAGTTGGGAAATTTATTAGGAAATCTTATTTGAAGTATTTGTATTCTAATTAATACATAACATATTCTTGTATTCTAAGTCTTATTATTTGGACATTTGATTCACTAAGGCACCGTTTGGGAAGGTGGGTTGGAGGCTTTTTTGACTATTTTAGTTACAAAAAACAAAATAGGCTATTTTAGCCATAACAAACAAAACATCACATCCAACCCATAATCATTACATTCTTATCTCACAAAAAAACTCAAAAAAGCCAAAAAGCCAAAAAGCCCTTCCCAAACCAAGCTTTTAAGCCCAGGCTAAAATAGCCAAAAAAGTAAAAAAGCCAAAAAGCCAACCCACTTCCCAAACGGAGGCTAAATCATAATTCTCAAATTTAAGGTATTTTTTGAACAATTGTACACTTACAAAGATTTTTTAAACCCTTAACAAATTAGTGATGTGAACATTTATATTTGACAGTGTGAATAGTGTGAATATTTACATTACGATACATTCACACTGTTAACATATTAATGCACTTTACCTTATTATTATTAAGAATATTTTAGTAACTATGCCGTTCATAAAATTTATTGGAATATAAAAAAATAATTTAAACTAAATAGATAAAAAAAGAAGTTGTGAATAAATATCTCAATTTTATTCAACATTACTTAAATTTATTTTATGCATGGACCTAAAAAAACACCTCTTGAATCTCCATTGCAGGTTTGATGTATGGACAAATTTCTTTCTACTTTTTTGGACAGTAGCTTTAGTGGTCCTGCGTCTCCTTAAATTATGAGATTAAAATATAATTAAGAGTACAATTATTAAATTCAAATGTAATTTATCAAATTCGTTGTTAAAAATTTGAGGTCAAACTATAAATATAGATCTTGTTTCGACTTTTAAATGAATTTTGTAAAATTACTTGATAAAAAGACACCCAATAAAATTAAAGTAAAAATTGAAAAAAAAAATTTATTGTAAAAATGTCTCTCATGGGCTTTTTCACTAAGGTGGATAAAAAAGTTCTGTAAAAAAAAAAAAAAACTCTTTTTTTAGTCTTTAAACAAATCATGCTACCTTCATTATCTCTCTTTCTCTCTTTCTCTCACTTGCCTTGTGAAAAGATTACATTTTAACCGAACTCAATTTAAATTTTGTGTTCAAATTTGTCTAGCCCAAAAAAAAATATTCTCCAAAAAACAAAAACAAAAAAACATTTTTCACATAATCATTTTTTTTTTTTGTGAAAATGATAGTTATGTGTTTTAATAAATATAAACATTTCTAATGATGTTACGTTTCTTAATAAATGTAAGCATTTTTTTTCATTTTTCTGTAACTTTGAGTTCAACTTTGACAATCAAAATTTTTTTTTGCCACAAATATTTTTTGACATAAAATTATTATGATTTATGGTGAGATAAAATTATGATTTATGTTACAAAATTTTAGAATATTATCAATTTTATTGTAGCAATTAGTAAATTGAATAATATAAAATAAAACATTTTGGAGGGAGACAAACTCCCGTGGGACCTGTCACTCCCACCACACATTGCTCGAAGTCATGCTTGCATTATTGTTTTGGGCCACCACACATTGCTCGAAGTCATGCTTGCATTATTGCTTTGGGTTTTGTACATTGAACTCTTTGCTTCCAGCAGAGAGTTGAAGCTTCAACTTTTCAAAAGTTGGTGGGACAAAAGTTGGGGTAAATATGAGGAGACAAAAGTAGGTGAATAATTTGTCAAAAAAAAAAAATAAAAAAAATGGTGGGATAAGGTGATTGAGTTACATACAAGTGGTAATTGTCCGGGCTATAGAAATAAAAATAATGACTCGTGAGAGATGAGTCCGGACCCTCTCTAGCTTTTCTCTCTTTCCTCTACGCCAGGCAACGGTCTAGATTGGCCATAACATTCCATTCAAAATGTGCGGATGAGATTAGCTTAAAAAAATAAAAAAACAAATTAACTCACTAACATGTCCCACCATTCTCTCACTAACAACATGTTCCACCATTTTATTAACCAAACAAGTTTATAATTTTTTTTAAAGGAAATAAAAAAACACACAGATTCGATCTGTGCATAGGTGCAAATCAAATATGTTTTTATTTTCTTTAAAACACAAATTTAATCTATGTATAGGTGCAAACCAAATACACTTTTTCTTTATTGTATATTTTTAATGATACTAATTTTATAAAATTAGAATTTTATATTAAAAATTATATATATATATATATATATGTTTATGAAAATAAAATGAAAACGATTAAAACGGTTTTTAAATTTTTTATTAGAAATGATAAAATCAAAATTTCATATTAAAGATTATATATATACTCTCTTCGTCCCAAAATAATAGTTCCTTTTGAAGAATTTAATTTTTTTTGATAGTACAATTATTGCACCTTAAAAAAATTAAATTTTCAAAATTGCCCTTTGATAGTATATTTTTTTAGAGAATATTAATTGTCATAATTATACTTTTTATATTATTAATGAATTTAAAAGAATGACAAAATAGAAAATTTATATTATTTTTGTCCTTAATTTTTGAAAGTAGACTAATATTTTGAGATAATAAAAAATAAAAGAAGGGACTAAATTTTGGGACAAAAGAAGTATATCTTATGAAAATAAAATAAAAAAATTAAAATAGTTTTTTTAATTTTGACGTGTTGTCAGTGTTGTCAGTGAGTTAATTTTTTTTTTTTAACTAATCTCAGCCGCACATTTTGAATGGGATGTTGTGGCCCAATCTAGACCGTTGCCCGATAATGAGGCAGGAGAGGAAAGTTGGAGAGGATCCGGACTCGTGAGAGATATGCCTAGGTGGGGTGAAGAAAAAAAAACAGAAAAAAGAAAAGGTTGAAATATTAAAAAAGTGTTGTGGGTTTGAAAGAGGTAGGGCATCTCTTGGTGCTTGGGTCTTAACTTGGATAGATAGAAAAAACAAATGACCTGTGAGAGATAATGAGATGAGTGTGGTGGGAGGGAGAATGACATGAGTGTGATTAAAAAAATAAATAAAATTGGGAAGGTTGATGGGTTTAATTAATCAATTGTGGAAAATGGGTTGTGATTAAAAAAATAATTATGGATTTGGGGGAATGGAAATCTGAAAGAGAGAAAATGAAATGGGGAGCAAATAAGATGGGTTTAATAAAAAAAAATGAAGAGTGGTGATGTATAGGGAGAGAGATTAGATTTTAGAGAGAAAAGAGAGAGAGAGAGAATGGGGATGAGGCCATTTTCATTTACCTATGAGAGATAATGAGATGAGTGTGATTAAAAAAAAAAAAATTGGGAAGGGTGATGGGTTTAATTAATCAATTGTGGAGGACGGGTTGTGATTAAAAAAATAATTATGGATTTGGGGGAATGGAAATCTGAAAGAGAGAAAATGAAATGGGGAGCAAATAAGATGGGTTTAATAAAAAAAATGAAGAGTGGTGATGTATAGGGAGAGAGATTAGATTTTAGAGAGAAAAGAGAGAGAGAGAATGGGGATGAGGCCATTTTCATTTAGCTGGATGAACAGCCACCAGAGAAGAGAGACGACAAAATGAGAGCGAGAGAAGATGAGAGGCGGTGGTGGTGGGGTGGTTGGTGGTTGTGGTAGTTAGTGGGAGTGTCGCAAGAGGAGAGGTGGAGGACAAAAAGGGGAGAGGTAGAGGAGAGAGAGGTTTGGGCTTAGATTTTGAGGTGAGAGAGAGCAAAGAGGTTTTGCAGAGTGATGATTTAAGAGGAGAGAGAGTGAGAGCATTTGGGCAAAAAATAAAGACATCTCAACGATTGAATTTTGGATGAGACAATCTGAATCATTGAAACAAAATATATCTCTGGTACATTTTGGACATTTTCAAAAACTTTCTTGCTATATTAGGTTTTGTTTGAGATGTGGATTGACTTTTTGGCCTCGAGTTAAAAAGTCTAGTTTGGAATGGACTTTTTGACTTTTTTGATTTTTCTGAGAGAAAAAATGAAATGATTATAATTTGGATGTGATATTTTGTCTTATTGATTTTTTAGTCTAATTTTTTTTTTTTTTTTGGGGGACTATTTTAGCCAAAAATCCAACCCAACTATATGCCAAATGAGTACTATATAGATTTGAGGCCCGTTTGTTTTTAGAGGTAGAATGAAAGTGATTGATAGTGAGAGGATTAATAGTGAGGGGATTAAGTAAAATTATGTTTATTTTGATGGTTGTTGTTAATATGGGGATTGTTAAATTATTACCATATAAAAGAAATATAAAATATTAAAACAAATAAAATTATGATTTTTACTTAACAAAAAATACAAAAATATTAAATATTAATGTTTTAAAAAAATGCCCAACATGTAAATAAAAAATCTAATTCCATGGGACTAATTTTCTAACATCATCTCCACTTTTTTCATCTCAATCCCAACACCCTACTTTTTAGAGGTAGAATGGAGGAGATTGATAGTGAGTGGATTAATAATGAAAAGATTGTTAGTGAGGGGATTGATAGTGAGGGGATTAAGTAAAATTGTGTTTATTTTGATGGTAGTTGTTAGTGTAGGGATTGTTAAATTATTTTTATATAAAATAAATATAAAACAATAAAACAAATAAAAAATACAAAACATTAAACATTAATTTTTTTAAAAAAATGCCCAACATGTAAAAAATTTTGAAAAAATAAAAATAAAATAAAAAATTTCTAGAAAAAAATAAAACAAATAAAATAATGATTTTTACTTAACAAAAAAACAAAAAATTAAACATTAATGTTAAAAAAAAATGCCCGACATGTAAAAAATAAAATAAAAAATAAATAAAAATAAAATTTTTTTAGTCTGCCGGACTATTTTTCTAATACTAAGTCTTGGAGGCCCCTCCAACTCCCCTTGGGGAGCCCAATTCTAATCCGGAGCTCACTATCAATCCCCTCCCCATCTCTCAAAACAAACACAATATTAGTAGGTCCCACCTCACTACTAATCCCAATTCTCTCTCTAACTCTCCAAGCAAACGGGGCTATAGGATTATGAATTCTCTTTCCATCTCTCAAAACAAATATAACATATAGTGCGTTTCACTTCCATCTCAATCCCCCACTTGTCTCCCAAAACAAATGGGGTCTGAAGACTATCAAGTTTTGGAAGGCCATGATAAGCTCTATGTTTGGGATTCCAAAAGTTCGCTTTTAAGTATTTTTGTGTAGATAAGCTTTAAAAAAGAAAATAAATTTATTGATAAAACGTAGTCACATAATTTCTGTATATTTTTTTAAAAAATAAATAACAAATATAATTTAAAAAATATATCATTAATTTTTTAAAGATGGATACATTAAAATTATATAATTATATTTATTGAATTAATATGATTTTTTCAAGAATAATCTAAACACAAGTACCTAAAAATAAATAATTCAAATTAACGAAACGGAAGTTGAGGGGGACTCACAAACCAAAAATTCGACGGTGTAATCCTATAATCCTTTAGATGACTAGAGAGATGTCAAGGGATATGTACAGAAGCATATTTTGAACATTTATTTATATCTTGAAAAATGATACAGAATATTAATTAGTGGTTGCATTAGGGATGTGGTAGTGGGTTCCACCCACTGCCACATGTGTTTTGTGTCTTAGTTCTTTTTTTTTTTACTTGCCACATCATTAGTGGTGTTAGTGGTAGGAATTTAGTGGTATGTAACATTGTTGTTATATCTTATATTGCAATAGTAACTGCACTCTCTTTTTGAAAATTTTTATCTTCTTTGGTTTCAATTTTTTAAATTCAATTTTTTAGATATTTTTTAAATTCAATTTTAAATTCAATTTTTATCTTCTTTAGTTTTTTTTTCAATTTTTATCTTGAGTTTTTTTATTTTTTTTAATATTTTTTTTGTTTTTAATAACTTTTTTCAATATTTTAAGTAAATTTTTTACTTTTTAGATACACTTAATATAAATACAATTTAAAAGTATAATATTTATGAAAAAAATTATAAAAAATTAATACCAAAAATAAAAAAATACAAAAAATCAGTATATTTTAATATTTTTATGTATTTATTGATTATTTAAATATTTTCTTACAAATATTTTATTTTTTAGGTGCATCTAATTACCTGAAATATTAAAAAAATTCATTAAAAATAAAAAACACAAAAACAAAAAACTCAATTTAAAAAAAAATTGAATTTAGAAAATTGGAGCTAAACAAATTTGTTAGAATAAATTCATATTAGATCAAGTCCATATAAAAAGATGTTCAAAATTTAAGTCCCTTGGTTATTAAATTGGGAGCTAGTTTCTTTTCCGGACCATAATTTGGATTGTAAATCATTGTTCGAGACTACGGATCCCATCTCAACGTCGAACCATTCATTTTATTAGGTACTTCATGTACATTACCGATACAAAAAATTACATCGATTTGATAATTATTTTTTTCACTTTTGTAATGAATAAATAAAAAAAACAAATGAAGTATTTTAAAAACATAATTGTTGTCCATTTTTTTGTTGACAAACACGATAAATTGAATAAATTACGATTATCGGATCAACTTAATTATTTTAAAAAAAAATGATATAAGAAGTGTCGAACAAAATGAACCATTCGAATAATTGAACCAATACACTTGATGCACTTCACAATCTAGACTAGTTCCATACAATCCAAATTATGAACCAGAGAAAATTCATCTCCTTTAAATTTTGAGAGCTGAGACCCACACTTTATACGTCTTTTTCTCTCGCCCCAAACTTATACCAAATCTTTCCATGAGCCGTCTTGCTAGTCCCGATTAATCCACCAACTCGATCAATGCTCGTACACCTGTCACTCTATATCCAAATTTAAAATGTTAGAAACACTAAATATTTTACTTAATTTGTTACAAAATATTCACATTAGATGGGTTTCACATGAGCGTGGATCTCACTCCCTCATGTGGTTAAATCTTTGGTAAACTTTTTGTATGCCTAACATTGCTCACGGTGCTAAAATCTTGGAATCTCAATAGTATCATTTTTTTTTTATTCTGCAGACTTACATCTTTAAAAGGAATGATTTGTCTCATGTTGAAATTTCAACTGGATCACATAGTTAAGAATTTTTACCAACCAAAGTTAATCAACGGAGTTCTCTTACTAGTCAGAATTAATGAAAGGATTCAACTAGAGCATGAGTTAGAATACTGGGCCAAGGAATTTCACAATTTCATTAAAAAATCATGTCATTTGGTCCATGGTGGGGAAAATTGCAATTCTATGGTATTGATCTATAATTTTTATGATACTACGTAGTTGCATTGTCATGAATTTCCTTGGCCTTGACATGCTTCAAAATAGATCTATTCATTATTTTTCTATAGGTTTATTTGTTGTTGTTTTTTTTTAAATTTATTTTTTATTTTTAATATTGATCTTTTTTTTAAAGATCTTGAAAAGACAAACACAATTGGTTTGTTTTTCAGAAAAATTTTTGACAAAAATTCTCTACAAACAAATTTTCAAGAGTAATTAAACCAAACAAATTTTTTCAAAAAAAATCTCAAAATTTTGTTTGGTTACCTACTTTCCAAAATCACACACTCTCTCTCTCATACACATCAAATCAATCACTTTTTTTAAAACTCTCTCCCCAAAACAGTTTTCCAAAACCATTTCTGAAAAAAGGCAAACCAAACAAGTTTTCGTACTTTTTATCTCAAAAATTACTTTACAAACACAAACCAAACATACCCAAAAATATGATTTTATTAAAAATTGATATATGTAGTTAAAAGTTATAACATCTTAAAATTTTATGAACACTACACATAAAAAGGTAAATATGTCAAAAAAATTCTTTGCCATAAAATGTTTAGACTTGCAAATGAGAAAGTGTTGTGCATGTCAGCTTGTAACTAAGAAAAACCAAAATTTGGATCTCTGCCACAAAACAATCAATGAGCGGGACTGTTGACCAATTTTTCCTACATTTATTCATTTTTCTTGTGATTGTTTAATAACTAATGTAAGTAAATTTCTCTTTTATAAAAGTTAAATTTATTTTGTTTGATACACTATTTTTTTTTTTAATCTCGTTTTGCTACACTTATCAGTCTTCTAATAATATTTTTGACTTCTTCCTTCCATCTTAATATATGGACATGAGTACAATAGGGGGTTGAGAATCCATATAACGTGGAGCAAAAGTTATAGAATTATGGCTTATCTTCTTTGACATCAAAGATCAAATAACTCAATTTGTTGATTAGCAAAATAAAATCTACATTAATAAAAAATACTTGTATTCTCAAGAAATAACAAAAACTCTCTTATTGTGATTGTTAACATAATAACTCTTAATTTTGTTGCCTTCTACTGCAACAATATTCATGTAGTGAGATTCTATTTATGCATTATTTCAAGCTCATTTTTCTAGGTTTGTGTAATAGATTCGTGAGCATTTTGGATTTGCTCAATTCTAGTGATATTGAACCATATATGTATTTTTAGGTGATATCTAGGTAGTATGTGGAAATACATTTCACCAAATGCTCCCACATATGTTTTTGTCTCGAGATAGATTGCAAGCTTATCTCATAAAAATGTATCTACTCATTAATTTTTGTTGTTGTGGACAAACAGATCTCTTGCAAGCTTATCTCAATTCATGATTTGGTGAATGCATTCTACAATTTCTTTAAATAAAGGTAACTTCTGTCTACTGTAATCTTCAATTCTTGTTCTCAAACTTAAATGCACAAGTTCTAAACTATGTTTGATCAACTAATTGGATTAAAGACAAAATTCATTTATATGGTCAGAAAGGTTCTATATGATTTTGGATTAAAATACAATTGTTAATTTTTCCATCCACGGAAGGTGTATCACGCACACTGTTTTTTAAAATGACTTGATTATAAAAAAATAAATTGAAATTAACACAATAAAGAGACAATTTTATCTCGATCTTCTCCAAACCTAAAATTAAATTAAGATGTAATTAAAATAAAATAAATGTATAATTATGGATTGACCTAAAATATAATGAAAGAGTGATTTAAAATATAATTAAATTAACATATAAAATAAATAATTATTAAGGATTGATCTAAAATATAATTAAATTAAAATTAGATTAAGATGTTAGGAATTACAATAAATAATTAAGGATGTATGATTAATTGTGATCTAAACTATAATTAAATTAAAATTAGATAAAAATAGGAATTATAATAAATAATTAAGGATTTTACGATTAATTTTGATTTAAAATATAATTAAATTAAAACTAGAGTAAAAAATTAGGAATTATTATAAATAATTAACAATTTATGATTGATTATGATTTAATTGAATTGATTTTAGAAATTATAAATTATGTATATGAGAGAGGAAAAAAAGAATATATATATAAATTATGTATATGAGAGAGGGAAAAAAGAATATATATATATATATATATATATATAAGACATAAGATTTAAGATATATATATATATATATATAAAAGACATAAGATTTAAGATTATTACAATCATTTCATATTTATAATTAATGAAATTAAGGGTTATATGTTGGTCCAAAATTAGATGGGGCCTTTCTAACTATATTTTAACAATAGGAGAGCTAAAATGTTTCAATCTCAAATCACGAAGAAGAAAATATAATGTTAATTTGGTAATGACCATAGAATACAAAATTATGAAATATTGGAGTCAATAGATTTTCGGCCCAGAGGGTGAACAAACCAATTTTAATTTCAAATTGTTCTTTTTTATTTTTTGGATAAATAATTTCAAATTATTCTATTTTCAATTCGCCAATTAAAAGTTTGTCTTATTTTGTTAGGATTAATAGTGAAAATCACAAAAAATCACGAGTAAATTACACTTTGCATCCTTATACTTTGCACTAAATTTCACTTTGATCCCTGCATATGAAACTGTGACAGTTAACTCCCTGTAATTTTGGTCAAATTCTACTTTGGTCCCTATACATGAAATCGTGTCAATCAACTCCCTGCACTTGGTCAAGTGTCAATGTCCCATTCTGTTACTATATTGTTTAAGTCTTTAATAGGAATTCAGTCTTATGATAAATATGTGACTACAAAATGAGGATAAGAGAAGAAAATTATCCTTATTTTCCACCAATACTTACTTTGTCTCACGTGATAAACATGTAAGAAAATTAGGACAAAAAGTAAAGAAAACATAACTCTTTTCAAATAAATAAAGGTAGCAGAGAAATTAAAAAAGGGAAGAGGAATATTCTATCGTTACTGTGCAAAACAGAGTTTTGTGATTCCTATTTCTACAAAAAATCTTAATATGTCTCTTTAATTGTTCATAATTTATGTTTTGTTTTAATCGAATATAGACAAAATATGATGTAAAATTTGGGATGTGTATAGGCAGGAAATGTGCATGATTTTCCTCCTTTGCTCTTATTTTGTAGTCACATGTTTGTCGCATTACTGACCTTTATTAAAGATTTATATGGTAGAGTAACAAAAGGGAGACATTGATACTTGACTAGAAATGTAAGGGTTGACTATCACGATTTCATGTGTAGGGACCAAAAGATTTGACTAGAAGTGTAATGGCTTGATTGTCATGATTTCATATATAAGGGCCAAAGTGGAATTTGGTGCAAACTGCAGGGGTGCAAATTATAATTTACTTAGGAATTTTTTAAAAATACAAATATTGACACATTCAATAAATTAGAAAAATATAAAATTTTAAGAAGTGAATATTTTTAAATGCATTCATACTAACTTTCGTACTTTCTAAATAATATCTTAATAATTAAAAGTATAAATGTTCAGATTTACAACTTCCACACTTATTACAAAATTCACACTATTATAATGCAAGGAAGATGAGTCTCATGACAATATATTTCTCAAAAGTATGAAATTTTATAAGTGAATTTTTTTTTCACAATTTCAAATTCTAAAAAAGTGTATATTTTTTTTTTCATTTTACATAATTTTGTATTTAATTGAGAACGATTTGGCTGAGTAGTTATAAAAAAGGGATTAAATTCATTTTACCTCTTATGATTTAAATATAGTTAGAAAATTCCCAAGTGATTTTGGAGGATTAAAGTGTCGTTAATTTGTTCATTCAAATTGATG